ATAATAATAATAATAATAATAATAATAATAATAATAATCCTTACAATTGGTACAGCACTTTTCATGTCAGGCTCAAAGAGCTTTCACAGGATTCTTTGTAAAGTGAAGTGACTGTGTTTTGTGAGCGAAGGAACTGGGGAGCAGTGGATGTCTTTAGTGTTACTTAAGGTCTCTGCAAATAGGTTGTATGGAGAGTGGGGAGTGGAAGGGGAGGGGGGTAATTTGTGGCATTTCTTAGTAAGTAATAGTGTTAGAATAAGTGTTAGTGGGGGAGTTGGACTAGTTGGTAACGCCTTCAAAGAGCCGGCACTGGCAAAATGGGCCAAATGGCCTCCTTCTGTGCTGTAAGATTCTATGATTCTAATTCCTCTCAGCCCCCAGGAACTGTGCTCTGAACCAATCTACATCTGGACTGGATTTCCGGTAACCAGAAGGATTCCCCCAGTTGCATACCTCACATTGTCGGCCAGGGCACCAGGAGACAGAAACTCCCTTCTCTTTTCGAATAGTGCCGTGGGATCTTTAACGTCCACCTGAACAGGCAGACGGGACCTGGGTTTAATGTTTCGGGTAAAGGGCAGCGCTTCCGACAATGCAGCGACATTGCCCCAGCATTGCATTGGCTTGTCAGCCTGGACTACGTGTGCTCAAGAGTTCTGACGTGAGGCTCAAACCCACAATCTTCTGACCCAGAGGTGAGAGGGTAACTGAAGCAGCGGGAGTCAACACGTTCAGGAGAGGAGCAGAATGAACTGCGGGGGAAAGGATAAGCGATGTTCCCATGTTACAGAGACACCCAAGTAAGTAACTAAATTCAGACGAGCACTGCAGGGATAAACCTACGAACATGCAAGCAGATTTGCTCCACTTTGTTATCGAGCTGCTAACCTCTCGTTGAGCATGCTGCAACAATATTCCCTCTTAGTTGCACTTAAGAGGGAAAAGAGAAACCATCTCACCAATCTGGAGGATCAACAGGCACAGAGGTTGGGATTGGGAAAGAACTCCCTACAGAGAGAGTTCCTTAAGCAGAGGAAACTCAAACCACCCCTCCAACCCGAGCTGGGAAGGGGGGTGGGGGGGGAGGCCACGGTGGTGGGGAGGGGGGAATAAAGGCTCAATGTTGTCGGCTGCATATGGACTCAATTGTACATTAATGGCTAATCAGTCCCTCCTCTTTTTTATTCGACTGATATTGTCACAAACCGCCTTTAGATTAGTCCATTTCCTGCTCGGGCTTGTGTTCGCCTGGCCCAGGAGAGCCAGCAAAAACAAACACAAGGGCCCGAGGAGTGTAGGAGCTACGGACCTCCGCATGTGAGGGAACAAAGGGTCCGTGACTGAAATCTCTGTGGTATCGGCTGATGTTTTTCATCTGAGCTTTGTGCAAAGAAAAGAAAAGAGAGACCCAATGATTCTGCAGTGAATCCATGCATGCGACTGACTCACGGCTGACTGAAAGCGAAGGGGGGAGCTTTCATTCCACTCTCCAGCAGAGCAATGCCGTTTCACCTCCACGCTATCTAAAGTTTAAAATTCTTTTGCTAGAAATATTTATCTTTGTTCCCTGTGTAACTTTCAACATTTATGCTTTCCTTCCTTTTCTTCCTCGGCTGCCATGGCAACCGTTGCAAATATTTACCCGTGACCAATATTGGGGCCTTTTTTTTTGTTTTGTTTTGTGGTTTTTTTTTGTACTGTGACAGAGAGAGGAGAGGGACAAAAGTCAGTGGGAACTTTATCGTGGCTCGAGGGGTATCGCGGTTCACACCTAAGTGTTGCCATTTAAATAAGTCCCATATCGTTTGTTTATGACATGTTCGTGGTTACGGGTTGTGCACTGTTTCCACCAGGGCTTCCACCAGTGGATTCAGAGGCAGCAGCTCGAATGCGCTAGTCATCATTCAGATCTGGGCTTTCAGTACCAATCTGGTCTCTTAGAAAATATTCCAAAAATGCTTTGCCATGTTCTCGAATCACAGGAGAGAGGGAGCAATGCAGAGACTTGCGCACAAAGATAGAGACCACGGGAAAGAGAAGAGAGGCAGTGACGCGGAGATACGTGCTTGAAGAAAAGGAGAGATACGGAGAAGGAAACAGGCTGACAAGAAGGGGGGAAAAGAAAATGAGAGAGATAGACATTAAAGATCCCATGGCACTCTCCTGGTGTCCCAGCTAACAATCCCCCAGATAAAATTGGGTCAATCACTGCATGGCTGTTTTGTGTGACATTGCTGTGCTCCAATTTGGCTGCCACATTCATTCGCCTACAAACGTACAATCACTGCACTATACATTAATTCCTGTGAAGTGATAAGACAATCTATCAAATGTAAGAGTTATCCTGATAAGATAACGTCCCGTGTTTGAGTCAAGCCATTATTTGCCAATCCGGGAAGGAGTCCCCCTGGCAGGCACGTTTGACACGCCTGTGTTTTCAAGAGGCTTCCAGTGTAGAATTGTGGAAAAGTCTTAAACTCAGTCTCAATTCAAAGCCATTTTTCCGTCTTTGTTGAAAAGAAACCGGCTTCTGAATCCGGACTGAATTTTCCAAAGATTCTTGCGTGATCTGAAACTTGAAGACAGTGGCTTAAGGCTAAGACCAGGTGGAACGTGAGGCTTGGAGTGCCCTCACAGGGTTAAATGCGGTATGGTGAGGATTACCGCTAACAGCGTTCAGTGCTTTGTTTCCATTATCAATCCCAGGCGTGGGATTAGATTTGTGGTTTTGCTCCATTTTTAAAGTGAAATAAATAGTCAGGGAAAGTGGAGAAGGAGCCAGATGGCAAAACCTAACTCTCTTCCACGATGAGGGGGAAAATCCAGATCGTTTTTTGTCAAAGACCGCACAGGAAGAAGCCTGTCAATTCGACTGAAATGCTTCTGTGAGACACAACCAGTGGGGGGGGGGGGATTGGGGGGGGGGGGGATGGGGGGGGGGGAGAAACATAGGGTAAGAGGAACTGGGTCAGAGAAAGTGAGGAAGCGATGGAAGGGGAGGGGAGCAGTGTTTGAGACCCTGCAATGATCCAGCTCATGTGGGGTGTCAGATTAACAGTGGAAAGTTACCCTTAGGTTTTGCGAAACAGCCGAAATCCACTGTTGACTTTGGCAGTGACGACGAACATTGTTTCTGTTCCCCAACATGCAGAGAGCAGTCTTGTTCCGTTGGTGAGTTGGGAGGGAGGGACATTGGGTTGAATTTGGATTTGAAGTTCCCCAAAAAAGTAGGCAGCCCGAATCTGAATTACAAGGCAGGGGGGTGGTCAATAGGATAATCATAGTCACCACCTCCCCCTTTCCCAGAAATTCACAAGTTTATACCGATTCTGCCTTCTCCAGAAAACTTTAATGAATCTCAAGTACTGGTATACCAGGGATCATAAATGGATTCTGATCTATTGGATCTCCGGGGAACTTGGTTGCTTGTCATCCTTTCTTGACAGTTAATAAAAATCCTTGCCGTTGATGCAGCACCTTATCACACCGCCAAAGTACCTTAAAGCGCTTCACAGGAATTTATTGTAAAGTATTTGTGGGCGAACACAGCAGCCAATTTGCGCACAGCGATGTGCCACGAACAGCCGACCTTGGGCTTGAACCGACAACCTTCTGACTTGAAAGTTACTAACTGAGCCAGGCTGCCACCTAATGGGATTTCCCCATTGTAATCAGGCATCGCCAGATGCACTGTGCTTGAGACTGAACAGAATTTCCCCCCTGTCTATCTTTTACCATCATTTTACCAGTTTCAATTGTAAATGCAAATGGAATGTGAAAGGTAGTGGTTTCACAAGAAAAATTGAAGCCCCCTGAGCTTTTGATCCAGCTTTCTTACTTAAACGCTGAACAAGCTGCAGCTCACTGTTTCTTTGTGTGAAGTGCTGCACATTGTCAGCCTCTGAGAAAACCTCGACTGCATTCTTTCAATTTTTGTTTGTTTGAAAGCAACATAAAAATTTAAGAGGGAAACTTCCCTGTTCTGATCCACAATTGACACATTAAATGGGTGTTTTGTCACAAACAAGTGCGGATCTACAAACTATTGCACTTAACGTGTTCTCTGACAGGATTCTACATCACGACGCTGCCCCATTAAGGACGTGTGTTGCCGAGGGAAGCTGACTCTGTGCTTCACCTTTGCACCAGCCTGTCCACTTCTGCTCTCAGTCCCAGTGCCAGATTGAGGGCTACAACATCAGCTCATGGATCTGTCAATCAGCAACTCCAAGTGTTGAGAGAGTCAAGCACCAAATCCCGTACTCTCTCAACCCCTGGAGTCCATTGTCTTAAAATTTAAGAGCGAGTAGGATTTTGGAGAATTCTTCAATTCAGTCTTAATTTTGAAGCTGATTTTCTGCAGCTCTTAAGAAAAAAAATCTGCGTTTTAAAGAAAAACACAGCTTCCGAATTAACTGAATTGGAAAATGTTGCAGAATCTTACATTTTTGAGGTGATTAAAGGCTAAGACCATGAGAATGATCAGGTCTTAGATCGCGACCGGCTGTTCTAAATTTTCTACTGCTGGATCAGGGTCCAGGTCCCAATCTCTGGGGACCTGCCTGTTTGAGTGTTGGATTTCCTGACCTTACAACTGAGGCGCAGGCAGAGACTGGATTTACCTAAATCGTACTGTGCGCCTTGACCACACAATCCTCAGGTCACCTAGCACCCAGCTTACCTGGAAACATTCCACTTTGGGAAATCAGGAATGAATCCAGGGGTTTCAATGTGATCGGCTGGGCTCTTTTTCTATCGCAACGTAACCCAGCGAGAGAAAGTTGGGGTCGAACGCAGTTTCGAACTGACGTATTGCCACGTGTCCCCCTCCCCCCCATCCGTGAGTTAGCAGAAAAGGGACACAACATGGATTAAAAGGAAAAAGGTGATGGAATGGACTGATTACTTTTTTTGATATTAAATACATTTGCTGAACTTACTTGGTTTGACATCACGTTGAGTAACTCTTATAAAGGACGTCTCGGGGATCAGCCACTCACCTTCTGCATCCTCTGGCCTGGTGAGGTCAATGACCCCTGGACCCATCTTCCCGTCTTCCCCCGTTTTCCCCGTCAGCTGGTGCGTAAGGTTCTCGAAAGACATCCTCTCCTGTGACCAGAGCAGAGAGAGAGATCTGTCAGCTACATGTGTGACAGCCACTGTGTTAATCTTGGTAGAGTTAAGTGCTGCTCAATCGACATCCAGCCTTTATCATTTATTAAGCTTCTTCTTTTTACCCTAAGGAGCTTGGCTTGTGTTTTACTTCTTGCCCTGCTGTTTCGAACTCAAATGAGATAACATAACAGCTTGTAGTACTTCAGAAGGAGTAAAACCTGTCGCTGTGCACTGTATAACTATGAAACAATATTAAATGTCACATCTGCTTAGATTTGGAGCAACAAAATAGTAGCTGAGGGCGGCTGGGAGTTTGATTACAGATTCTGCATAGCACTGGTTATGCATTATGCAAGGACAGAATAGTGCCTGCTGTTTGACCTGTTGTTGAAAGACTTGTCATCTGCTAAGTGCACAAAAAAACACAGGCTCCCTAACAAGAATAGACTCAGAGAGATACCTGGGACAACCAGCAGTCTTCTTTAAGATCAGGCTGCAATGTCGTGAGCGGCATTGTGCTATAAGCTCTCCATCGGCTCTCTAGCCTTGAAGCATGGAACCGAAGGCTGGTAAACGTGGACTGTCACTGAATTGTTCCATCGGAGCAGCTCACAAGTGCACGTCTGGAGCACCCTCTGTGATCGCATCACTGTCGGGCAAGCCTGATAGCAGGTTGCACTTTCTGTAATTATCACTGAACTGTGCTGGCTTAGCCCGGCTCATTTGGTAGCGCTTTTGTCTCTGGGTCGGAAGGTTGTGGGTTCAATTCCCACGTTGGGCCTCGAACTCATTGTTCGGGCTGAGACTCCAATACAGTACTTAGAGGAGCGCCACAATGCCTTTGGTGCAGTCCTTCAAATGAGATATTTTAAACTGAAACGTAAAGAAGTTCACTTTAAGGCAGATTCTTACCATTCTGCATGCCATACTAGGAACTGCTTAACCTCACTTAAATTTTACAACCATTAGAGGTAGGAGATGTTGTTAGGAAATGTTTGGACTCGTCTCAGAGGTGAAAGTTCCCTTGTCCTTGAGAAGAAAGGACAGTTTTCAATTGCACTGTGCATCCACTCTGGTAATCTGGTTGCTTTCCTTTTGTGTGTACAATGTGCTGCATGGTGTCTTATTGATCTGGAACTATATGCATCACCTTGATCTGGAACTGTACCTTATTGATGTGGAACTATATTATATTGATGCAGAACTGAATGTATTGCATTGACCTGGAACTGACTTATTGATCTGACATTACAAACAATATATTTAGAACAGATGTGTGAAGAATACCACACATTTAGACCCACCAGAAATAAAGAACACAAAAATACTTGAACTGAAAACGTTCTCAAATGTACATTTCTGCTAGAAATACACAGTCCGTTATCTTATAGAACAAACGTACTAAGCTTTCACAGAAAAGAGCCCAAGAACTATTCTTCTTTAAGAAAACTGAAGTGTGGGAAGTATCCTGATATGTTTTTGACTGGTCTATCCATTCATAGCAGCCTAATGAAACGTTAACATGAACACACTCTTTGGTTGTAATTAAGGGGCATAGACAGGCAGTAGTTTAATGGGGGTGATCAGAAGGCCAGGTTTCAGTTTATTTTACATTAGTTGAAGGAAACATCAATAATTAGTCAACCAGTTTATAAACTGCAGAAGAGGCCTCCGAAGTTTGAAAGGTGTGTGTGTGTGTGTGTGCTGAGAAAAGGTCAGCGTGACCACAAAAGAGTATCCTTTTACACAATCTGTCCGATAAGAAGAGCTGCTGTACTGCGCACGCTAACCGCAGGACTGACATACAGCGACTTTCTGGGAAGGAAATTCAGCGGCCACAGCATTTTTATTCGTCAGCCTCACGGAAGCTGTGATTTAAGACTAAATAAACACTCGCACATCAAAAATGATCAAATATAATTTGTCAGTCACTCCATTGGGTTATGGGACATTGCTATGTGCAAATTGGCTGCCGCCTTTGCCAACAACTTATGCACAGTCCTGTTACTATTATATGACAGTATATAACTATATATAACAGTATAACATATAACAGTATATACTATAATATAATCGTGGAGTCCTGTGGCTCAGTGGTTAGAGCACTCGCTTTGCAAGTGAGAGACCTGAGTTCATTCCCAGGCAGAGGGCGAAACCTTGGGCAAGTTTCCTTACTCCACACAGAGCCTAATAATAATCCCTCCAAAAAAAAAAAAACAATAATAAATTGGTCATTTTCAATCTACGACTGTTTGTGGGACATTGCTGTGCGCAATTGGCTGCCGCGTTCGCCCACAAATATACAGTCAATTCACTTTACAGTATGTTCTGTGAAGCGCTTTGGGACGTCCTCCCGACGTGAAAAGCGCTATATCAAATGCAAGGATTATTATTATTATTATTATTATAACAATCATCTCTGAAGTGCACCTCTGATTTTACTTGAATAAAGCCTGCCTGATTCTGAGTAATGATTTGCATCTTTGCTAAGAAAGCAGAGGGCCTGAAATTCTCTCTGTTCTTAACCTTTAGGGTCATTAACATTCTGATTTAAGGTTGTGCGAAATCTTGGAAAGTTCTTCAAAGGACGTCTCAGTTTGGGAATCGCAGTTCTTTCGCAGTTTGTTGCAAGATCTGAAGTTCGAGCCTCAAGATATTACTTTAGAAGTAACTTACAGATTTAAATGGGTATAGTTCAGAGATTGAACAATTGGCATCAATAGTGGACACCACCTACATACATGTTCTTGTTGAGAAAAGTATGGGGCTAACTTGATGCTGATGGGAATATCGTAAGATCATTAGATCACAAAATCAGTTTGATAAGAAGACCCTTTGGTCCATACGATCTCAACACCTGTAGCTCAGTCCTGTAGCTCAGTGGTTAGAGCACTTGCTTTGCATGCGAGAGACCTGGGTTCAATTCCCGGCAGGGCGAAACCTTGGGCAAGTTTCCTTACTCTGATAATAATCCCTCAAAAAAAAATTGGTCATTTCAATCCACGACTGTTTGTGGAACACTGCTCTGCGCAATTGGCTGCCGCGTTTTGCCCACAAAAATACAGCCAATTCACTTTACAGTCTATTCTGTGAAGCGCTTTGAGACGTTGAGAAGACGTGAAAAGCGCTATATCAAATGCAAGGATTATTATTATTATTATTATAACATTCCAGAGCATCCAAGCTAATGCCCTCTCATCACAGGACCAAACTGTTTTTTAAGGGAACAGTCATCAACTCTGCTGGGAATATAAATGCAAAGAGCATGGCTGGTGTGTGCAGAGGTGAAGGCTGCTGTCTCTCCAGTTTATCAACAGAAAGGCTATGACAGCATTTGTGCGGTGTGGAAGTTAGGATTGGATGCTGCTGCAGGTCTGTGGCTATAAAGCTTGTGCTGAAACACCAGTGAGCCTGGTTAAAGGGATNAAAAAAAGAGATCTCTTGGTAAACACATGTGAACATGGTTGTGCCTTCAAAATGTTTCTCAAATGAAACTACAAAGAAGAAAAATAATGCAGCGAGGTCCAATATATGGCAATTTCTAACAGGATTCCTTAATAAGGAAACCGAGCAGGAATCCTAGTAACTGGAATCCTGGCCAACAAATTCCCCAAGTAAAATTGGTCACTCAATCGATGACTGTTTGCGGGACACTGCTGTGCACAATTGGCTGCCGCGTTTGTCCCACAAAATACACAGTAAATTCACTTCACAATATATTCTGCGAAGTGCTTTGACATGTCTTGATGTCGTGATAAGGCGCTATATCAAATCCATGGATTATTATTATTAAATAAGCACATCGTGTAAATCACACCTGCTCAGAGGAAGCCTGCTCCAAAATAAATCGACTTGGGGTGTCGTTCCTGAGTTTGCCTCACATACTTCCTGATTTCTTAATTAATCCACTCCAGTGCCTAGATCAGGGTCCAGAGGAGATTTTTTGAGGCAATTGAACAAGTCAATGCTGTGTTGGAAGGTTGCGGGTTGTGTGCTTTTAAGTATCTTTAGATTAAGATAAACAAGATAGTGCTTATGTATCGGTTGAGGAGATTGAGATGATGAAGGGCTTGTTGAAGCCCTGAGAATGTTAAATGTTCCGAGCACTGCATCTGCAGCATCAATTGCAGGCGAGGATTATCTCTATTAATGAAAGAGCAGCGACAGTAGTGATGGATGGACTGTTAGGTTATTACTAGCAGTGACCGAAGCAAGCGATTTAATGCCAAAATGCTGCACTTTCCTCTGTGCGGATCAGGGTACAAAGGCGACCGCTAGATTGGTTCCTTCAGCCACTGAAATCAGTTTATAAAAGCCTCCCCAATCTATTTGATTGCAAGAATGTGGTGAATATTTCTTTTCCCGATAAAGGCCAATAAATGTTAGGGGTACGATTCAACCTGAGTCGAGATTTATTCTATTTTCCTAGCATTTCGGAGCATCCAAAATTTGGCAAATTCTTAAATTCTTCAAAAACCATTAAGTCGTATTTCTGTGGATTTCTTTTAAGAACGGAAAGGAAAGCCGAAAGTCATGTTCAAAGTTAAGAACGAAATCAGCCATTTGCCAAACGCTGGAATGTTCTGAAATACTGCATGAGCTGAGTTAGTTCTCAGGGTGTCCTGGCCAGCAATTCCCCAAAATAAAATTGGTCATTTGTTTCATGGCTGTTTGTGGGACACTGCTGTGGGCAATTGTGCTCCCCCGATTGCTTACAAATATATAGTCATTCCGATTCACAGGAGATCCTGAAAGAGCTTTGAGTCATCCTTCTGATGTGAGGAGGCGCTATACCAAATACAAGGATTATTATTATTATCATTAATCTAGATTTAGGTGCAATTTTACCTTCACTGGTATCCCGACAATAGGCTCCCTATCTATCCTCATTGCTGCTCTCACTCAGACTGACTGCTTCCCCTACTGCTCCAGTGATCCACACACCAGTGATGACTGACTATTGTCACACAGTTTAATAATTGATGATATCTTAC